TCTTTCGATCCGACCACACTCACTTGTTTTTAGTGAGTTTTAGTGTGAGTACAGGAATGTGATTGTACAGCAGCCGGGGAGCACCTCCGTAAATTCTGACAAGATTGGGGAACAATCGAATTTTTTGTATTTTTCTGTCCAAAGCCGCATGGACCACTCTGCCACAATTCATTTGCTGCCCTCTTGGATACTACTTCTCAGCTAAGTGCTATTTTTAAATTGTATTATGTTTCTTTCTGTTTGTTCGCTGAAGGAGGCTTCCTGCCGACACGATCGTTATTTTGCTGCGTTCCATTTCTCAGTTTAAACCTTAATTTGTTTTACTAATTTCCTATTGACACCTTGATGCCATTGGTGCTTTGTCTGGATAGAGTTCCTTGATTTCTTTTGATTCCTTACTATGTGAGATGTGTCAATGAAATCAATCAGGCGAGATAATCAAATGAAAATCCTTTTGACAAGAGCTTAATCTCTACCCAATCGCTTACTACCATTTATTGTTATTCAATACGTAGCATTTTCGTGCTTTTGGCCCCATGTATAGCAATGTAACTGTCAACTCCTACACGTCTTCTTGGATTGATTACATTCGTCAGTTCTTTCATACGTTGAAGCGTCGTACTATTCTCACTATCAATTAACAAACTCAACTCCTTTTCATAATAACTATAACTTTAATATCTAAGTAAATATAATAAACATCCTATCACTCCAAGGTTCCACTCAAGACTGCCGCACGACTACAACATACGTCACAACACTGCATAGACAATACGTCACGAATCAGCACAAAAATACGTCATAAAGACAATGGCGGGAAGAGCGTTCACTAACTATAATAGTCAAGCGCGGGAAAAGCGTTCAACAACTAATGAACATAATATTGAGTCGCAACAATTACTAAGGAACGCTCATACTCGACAGTAACTTATTCTGAAGAAATTAAAAGTGTGATTATGCTATGTATGCATAGCACAAATAGCTCACACGCATGTATAACTGAGTAATAATAAAGCAATGATTTAATGTGTAAATTATTATACGTAAATATAATATAAATAACAATCTCATATTTAATCCCAAACGAGATTCAAAACACGATACGTATATGCTACTTCTATTATCTAATTACTGTTCTTCATTAAATAAACATATTACATGGACTTATAAATTCGAATTCACAAACAGTGACATTAGGAGCTGTATGAAACATAGTCTGTTACTTTTTTTTCCTGAAATTTTTTTCAGGAGACTTTTTTTTTCCTACAATCAATGAAGAACCACTCATCTATATAATATGGAGCCCATGGGGGGAACCACTCCCCTAAATAATATTGAGATCCCAAGTGAAGAACCACTCATCTATATAATATGGAGCCCATGGGGGGAACCACTCCCCTAAATAATATTGAGATCCCAAGTGAAGAACCACTCATCTATATAATATGGAGCCCATGGGGGGAACCACTCCCCTAAATAATATGGAGATCCCAAGTGAAGAACCACTCCATTAAATACTGATGCCATGTAAGAACCAGTCCTCTAAATCAGGCCTGCACAATTCAAAATGAAAGGCGGGCCGTAATACATTATGAAAAACGTGTGCGGGCCAAAATAAAATTGGAGAGGACTTGTGCGGGCCAAAAGAAATTCGGACGAGGGGGAAATCTATTAAGAAATAATAAGAATAATGAATATTACATTTCATTATAGATCCCACATGGTAAATAATCTTTACATTAAAAATAAAGGGGAAGTCTTTAAATTTTAAACAATAGTTTATCGCTGGATTCATCGTTACCAAGTAATGCAATATCTAACAATAATAATCTAAACGTACGTTTATCAATACCAGCTGGGACATAGTTTGAAAAATCTCTTCAACGTACTATTTAATTTGCCACATCAGAGTTAAACCTATACAAATGCGACGGCGTTAGTCATAACCAGACTACCGACGCAGCTAAAAGCTATCGATAAAGTGCCTAGCCGCCAAGCACCTAGCCTAAGTTGTCTAGGCTCAGCGTGTAGCAGTCAAGTCAGCTTTACCCGATGAGTTTTATTCTCCTTTGCTAGGCTTGAAACGCTATCGTGCTGCTGACTGACTCCTAAAATAGCTGCGCGTCGTACCGCGTGACTTAATGAGATCACCGCCCTGGTCATGCGCAAACGGTGACAAGCTGTGGAAAAGTCGATTGTATTGAAACTAGGTCAACGACGCCGATCCTTCTTCAGATTGAAACCGGATTGGCTAGGGATATTTACAGAGGAAAAGCTATCAGCCTAAATGGCTGTTTTGATTATTGCTCAAATTGACTGTGCAGCCATTTAGATTTTACGATACTGCTGCCGGTACTGCATATGTTTTTTTAAAAATCGATTTGAACTTTAAGATGAATAGCGGTATGTAAAAAATTAATCTAAGGTGTAGCTTTTAATTGGGTTGCTCCTTCAATTTTAATTTTAACTTCTCCGCGTGAACTAAAAAAGGGGTCTTTAAAGTTGTTGTTTAAAAAACTCCTTGCTCAAACTCGCTTGTGATTGGGCCTTTTTTCCGGGATAGAATTTCAGTGAACCAAGTGCGTTTCTGTTTTCTGAAATGCCTTCAAATAGGTGCAGATGTCAGAGATAAGCTTGGTTTTGCCTTGAAATGTGAGAATAAATCCTTGGAATGTTTGCTCAAATTATGTGGGAAAAAAACAAACAAAAAAACTAATTTTCAGAACCATTCGCTATTTGTGAGTGTAAGTTACAACTTAGGGAGGTTCTTGTCATTTGAGAAAATCTCACCTCTCAGTACAAAACCTTTGCACATCTGAGAAATCTTACATAAGTGTGGTAGAGTATGCCTGGATATGTTTTGGCACTATCACCTACACGATGACATCCTTAACAAAATGGTGTGTCACATTGCCTGCCTTGATGACACTTTGCTGGTCTCCTGTAATGTAGTCTGCTCTATAATGATGTCATGTTTCTTCTCTCTCCTTCTGTTGACTAGCCTCAAGTATCGTGTGCTTTCTTTATTGTATGTCTCTTACGATGTCTATCTTTGGATTCCTATATCCCGGACTGGCCCCAGTTGTCACAGAATGGGTGTTATGGAGAGAACTTTCACATATTGTTTTGACGTATATAGTCGTGATCAATATAGGAAATCTCTTGTGGCTACAAGTTAGGTATCTAGGCGTTTTGAGACAGACAAAAGTGCAACATAGACGTAAATGGTTCAATATATATCCAAATGTCGTACAATTGATTATGAAATGTAGTTATTACATTGTTACTGATATTTAAAGATCTTCTGTCACTCTTCCTAACTCTATCCCCAGTTAACTGTTTACTGTCCCTATGTCTGACCATCACTATGTCTCTCTACAACTTTAGTGTCCAAGTCTCCTACTTCAATTGGATTGTCCTTTCTCGACTGTTTCTAATAAACTCTCTTGAATGAACTTGACTCAACTTACTTGTGTCCCCAAAAACTCTACCTCACGATTCTATAATCTATACACAATTCCAAGCCCAAGCTATTAAGTAGCACCCTCTCTATCTCTAGGTCTTCCCACGAGCTGGATCCCAATTCCTACAGTCTCTAAGTTACCACTTGATTTCCTTTGGTCAGCTGGGTTCCCAGATGTCTTCCCTGTATCATTAACACAACCACCATTAAACGCCAAATACTGGGTATCTACGCCAATATTTCCCCTCTCAATCCTGGTCATTTGTGACAGTTTGTGCCATTCACAAGTTTCAATTTATGAAAAAAAAAAAATTATTGAAGTCTTGGCTATTTCATATTGAGAAGGAAAAAAATGTAAATAACTCAGAGAGACTATTAAACATTGCATTTTCAAAAATGCAAGCAAAGTTTCATTTATTTAAAAGAAGTAATGACATGAGTGGGGGCGGGGAAGCGTTTATAAATGTCAGGCTTTACGCTTGGTGCAGGCTTAGCATGGTAGTTACCTGTTAATGCAGATGAATATTCTTTAAATGGTGCCCACAATCTAATTTGATCCAGTCCCGAAAGAACAAGAAATACATTTCATAGTCGAGCTTTTGTAACTACCCCGTGTTAAAGTGAAATTTTAAGTCCAAACAATCTGCAGAGGTTTGCTGATGTCTGGTGCCCACTTCTTGGCTCCAAGCCAAGAGTCAAAATATCGAGTCTGGTTGCGAAAAATGTACTAACTCTATGGTTGCGTGCCCATAAGAAGTATCGGTGCGAGTACCGTACTGAGAAATTTGCCGACTCCTTTTGTCATGCCCCTAATAGTAGAGGCGGAAAAAGAGGCCCGCCTTGAGAACAAACAAGAAGTTAACATAGACTTTCAAAGTAAAAATAAATAAGACCATGACCTTGGTAGGCCCTACTATCTATTACCTGCATGGTGTAGGCTATTGCCCGTGGAGTGAGGGTGCGTCCAAAACGATCGGTACAGAATATTTGGTGCATTATGCCAATGTGTGATCGAAGCCCCTAATATGAAAAAAAAATGTCAAAGATGACGCTGCTTTTTAAAAAAAAAAATCATAATATATCATTTACAAAAATTTAACTAAGAGCAATACGATCATTAATCATGTGAAAATCTGTAAGTGGAGCTCGAATTCTTTAAAAACTACATTCGGCCTACTGAAATATTTACGGCCAACTTCAGAGATTGTTTATGTTGTTTTTTCCACATGTAAAAGTAAATGGAGTGCGGCAAAAATCTTGGCCACTCTTAGTCTAGCCGCATAACTATTTGGAGAGCTTATTTGTCGTCTTACGAAAGTGTCCTGAGTGCAGTCGGAGGGTGGAAAAATGGCGTGACAATATATTTTGGAAGAATTGTGCGTGTATTTTTTTAACGCAATTTGCTTATCATAAGATATTGATGGACCCTGAGGCCTATATCTACAATTTTCTGAAGAACCCGCCAAATATCTTCTCCAAAAATAGTAGATGCCCCGGATGTGGGTTTTCGTCAGCGCTATGTTCCGCCATCAGGATTTGCATCGAAAGTGTAAACACCGAACGCTAGTGATACCAGATATACTGGTAACGAGTCATAATTCGGGAACAGTAGTGGTGTATATTAACTTATAAAGTTACACTGTACGTATATTTTAATTTTAAAAAATTCGATATTTGTAATTTATTACAATTACAGCACATCTTCTTAATCATTTAAACGGTGTTCACTCAAATTGAGTAGTCTGAATTATATTATTAAGTTATACTTTTATGCCATCTAGTTTTACTATTTTACTGACTGGATTAGATCCATCGGTGGCAGCAGAGGAGCGAGCAGTTCAACGAAATTTGAAATGACTTCAATAGGCTTATTTTCATCTGATAATGATAGGCCACTATATTTTAATACATGCTTGAGTAACAAAACGCTATTATACTTATATTTATATATTATATAGAACTTATAGTATTGTATTTGTATATATTATATATTGTGTGGTTTGATAATTGATATTGATAATACCAATTGAATCAGTAAAGCTACGGGATATCAGAAGTGAGAGTTTGGGTTTATTAGTTTATTAAAAAATATAAAAAATATTAGGGAAGCGTTATTCACACAGCTCTGTGAATAACGTTTAGCGTTATCGGCAGAACGAAATCTGTGAATAACGGCGAGCGTTATCCACACAGCTCTGTGAATAATGTTTAGCGTTATCAGCAGACCGAAATCTGCGAATAATCATATAATGCATTAGAACTAGACTGGTGAAAAATTATTGTTGGGTGTAGGCTGTTAATATTACTATTAGTATACTGAACCGTCACGAGTTATTATCTAATTTTTTTTCACTATCAATTATAAAAAAGGGCAAATTTATTACTAATATTAGTATGGTAATATCTGTATACCGCTAGTATAATAGTAATAGCCTATTACTATACTAAATATTATGCAGTATAAAGTATATACACAATTGTAGTATAAGTAATATACTTAGTTACTTAGCTTAATCAGTATACGCATACATGGGCGCCCGCAAATTTTTTGTCTAAATTTTTTTGGCTATCCAATCAATCTAAGGGGTGGGGGGGGGGCTAGTGCCCCCCACTTGCCCCTAAGTGCAGGCGCCCATGTACGCATACGAATTTATTATTGGGTGATAATTAATGGGTCTATAATGCAGAGCGTTATTGTTAGACAGAAATTATCCTATAAGTACGCACATTTCTAGATGACATTCCAAGCTGGGGTGGGGGTGTAGTTTTAAGTAGTGTAGGAGATTTGGATCTTTAAAGAATCTTTAATGAGTATGGCACAAGCACATTTCATAACCGAAGCTATGCACAAATTAAATTTTAAAAATTTAATAGGCCTAACTATAGCCTATAAATTGAATATAGGACAATCAATTGTGCCTACATCTGCTCTGTTAGGGGCCAACATAGGGTCTAATCGACCTATAGAGTGTTACTAATATATCCAGTCAAACCTCCTACTCCTAGACATAACTAATTTTCTGGTAGGCCTATTTCATATTAAATATTATACCAGTAATAAAAATTGTACCGGTACCGGTACTCTTCATGTAGACTCACTTTCACCCATTGTAGAGAGGTCTTAAAATGATGTCAAAGCGTGATAGGGTATCGTTTAGTGTTTTAAAAGCCCTATGATATATCACCTAGTCTAGAATTGTTCTGTCAGGAATAGCCCATGCAGAGAGGTGGCTGCATCAGGCAGCCATGTGAGAGATGGGGAGGGGCATATTGGCCCTACATTGATAATAACAGAATGTAATCCTGTTAAAGTTTAAGGCTATTTTTTCCCCTCATACTTGAGCGTGTCCCTTAGTCTACCCATTAGCTGGTCAAAAGTAAAGGTGGCTGGTTATTGCGCTTGTATTAAACATTAATGCACAACACTGAGATATAAAATATTTGAATAAGTAAGTTATTAATAATTATTTGTTTATTAGAGAAAAAACAAATGGATGTTAAAGTCTATGAGTGGAATTATACAAAGAAAAATAAACAGTCAAAAGAGCTAAAAGTATATCACAATGTACAGTTAGAACAGCTGTATCTGACTTAAACAAAAATGACATGGTTTATGCGGCTCATCTGCATGTCCATGTTGTTTACAGTTTTTTAACGAACTGGAATGAACATTCTAACAAAATAGATTGAAACTTGTAACATAAGTAACAAAACTATATGAAAATAATAATAAAACTATGTGAACAGAAAAAGAAAGCTATAGGAAGAATATTATTATAATATAACACTACGAAATAACCATTAAAATATTATGTTTTTTTAAAATTTTCTTTATAAAAATGAAGCTTCCCCGACGGGGAATCGAACCTATGACTATGATACAATGTCTGCTGGGTGACGGTCGGAGATACTGACCACTACACTATCGAGGAGATGTGTACATGTGAACTTTGTATTTTATATTCATTATTTAATTTATCACATTCTGTGAATAACGTTTAGCAAAATATTATTGTAGGGTTTGTAACACAAAATTAGGTATCAAATGAAAGATAATTGAATGGACTATATTTTTGTAAACTTACTAACTTACTTCTTCAGTTTAACTAAAACTAAAATAAACTACCACAAAAACAAATGATATCCAAATCTCATTTAGTCTTAGTCTAAGTCTAAAGTTAAAGGCAAAGGGACCTGGACACGGATAGCCGCTATTCGGACCTGGGTCCCTTTAGACTAAATGCTACAGCAGGGGTTTTAAACTCGCGGGCCGCAAGACGATATTTTGCCGCCCGCTACATGACAGCAAAGTTTAGTGTTAATGCGGCCTGCGCGTTTTACCCTTTCTCATATCTATAATGTGACCCTCCGCGACGGTTTCATTCGAATCTCACAGACTAGTCTAATTCCAAGTTTTTATTATGTTTGTATTGATTTATATTATAATGGCAATGGTAAAAGTAAAAACCATTGTAAAAATGGGGCTAAAAGTTTTTATTTTATAGTATTTGATGAGAAAAACATGGCCGAATTGCGGTTTTGAGAAAAGTTTATGTCAGTTTCAGTTACTGGGTAATGCACAACCATTTATTGTGTAAATCGTAGCAACCTGAAACACTACACAGTATCAAAATCCCTATTAAAATTGCTGCTAATGTTTACGAGTGAGGGAAATGCCGAGACTTGTCAGCTTGGTCCCTTTAAAAATAAGGTAAGTCAAAAAAGGCCTTTTCTTCGATAAAAAATCAAAATTCATTCTTCCTACAATAGCATCTTCCATCACATCAATAATTTATAAACATTGCCTGCCCCTGCCTACTGTTTGAACACATTTTAGCCTTCAAAGCCTTCATGGAGAAGGAGGGGGTGGCTGTTCCTGTACTAAGTGATCCCAAATAGTTCATGGATTTGGCTTTTCTTGTTGACATTACATAGGAGCTGAATATGCTCAACAAGAAGTTACTACACCAGGAGTAGCTTGTCAGTGTTGCCAATGATGGTGTCAGGGCATTCTGCACAAAACTTGTGCTCTGTCCTTAGAGAAACCTCTGCCTTTCCCGACATGCAAAGTACTCATGGACTCGGGCACACCTTTCAGTAGTAAGTATACTGATGCCATTGCAAAGCTACAGGAAGAATTTGATCACATGTTTGCAGGCTTCAAAACTGAACGAGCGACTTTTCAACTTTTTGCTGACCATTTCTCCTTTTCTCCTTCAATTTGGAGGATGCAACCCCCTGATCTTCAGTGCAATTCTAAGTTCAGGGATGTGAATGGAAAAAACAGACAAGCATGGATAATTTATGAGAGCATTGCCCTACACCTTCCCTGAGATTTCCAGATTGTTTAAGCGGATCATGTGCCTTTTTGGGAGTACCTATCTGTGTGAAAAGCTCTTTTGTCGATAAACTTTAACAGGTCAAAGTTCAGGGCCAAACTTATTGATAAGCATCTTCAAGTTATACTGAGGGTCTCAGTTGCTTCCTCACTCAAGTCAAATGTTGCTCAGCTGTGTAAAAGGAACCGATGCCAGTCGATCCCTGGCAACAACGAGTAGGAGGAAAAAAGTGAAGCCTAGTTCTTGAGAACCTTTAAAATCTTTATTTGTTATTAATAAAGGTTGAGCAGATTATAACAGTTGTACTTTATTGAATTTGTAATTGCTTTTTATGTGGAATACTTGATGCGGCCCAGTCTCACTCAGACTCTACCTCCTGCGGCCCCCCATGATGATTTGAGTTTGAGACCCCTGGCCTACAGTGTACATGTTAGGCTGATTTGTTTAGCCTTTCTTAGCCTATCTCTCTCAATCAAGCAATAAACTGGAACTCTGTAATCTGTATACCATGGTCAGGGTGCATATAATAGTGTAGTAATAGATCAAATGCCTGGGCCTGAGCATACATATGCCTATACTATAGAGGGGCAGGGGCTTAATATTCTCCTTTTATATTATCCCATATATTATTTACCATATTAGACTATATATGTATATACACACCATATTATATATAGGCCTATTATATATGAGTATAAATTATACATTTTTTCAAACTTAAATTTGAAGCTAAAAAATATAATTTTTGGTAAGAAATTAATTAACATAAGGTTTAGAGTTTAAGATTTTAAGTAAAACTAGTAATTACCCTACAGCCATATCCCTTCCACCAATTTTGTAATTATTCATAATAATTTGTATTATTAAGAGTATGATTTGATTTGATAAAGATGTTTCATTATTAAATGTACAAAAAAACTATATTATACAAAAATAGGTCTATCTTTATAATCTATAGTTACCAGGTAGATATTTTTTTTTACAAATATCCTTCATGATTAAAAAAAAATACATTTTAACCCACCTAGTGTCTGGATGTAAAAATGTAATAAAGTAATTGACCAAATTTAAACTAGCACCATTAGCATAGTTAGTGTCACCCTGTGGTTAAGTTAAGTCAGCTCTTGTTGTCACCATGGCCCCCTTTCCCTTCCTCAACTTGACAATTAAAAATCATAATTTCTCCAAATGCAACATAGTCACCATGCTACTTTTGATAAATTCACAAAATTCATAAAAACATACTATAAAAATCATAAAAACAACAAAGTATGTAATTAAAAAAAATCTTGAAAATCATATAGCATTGTACATTATTTGGAAAGAGAAGAAAATTAAAAATCGTAATTATAAAAATAATTTAAAATCATTAAACTTATATAATAAATACATGAAAATTAAATACCTTATACAAAGCCTTGGCTTTCCAAATGTAGATCACAACTAGTTCTTTATAAGTTTCAGTTTTGAAAAACTCATCTCAAATGAAGCCACACACATATAAAAATTGTGACAATTAAAGATAGGGTTAGTTAAAGAATCAATTGGTAAAAATTCTAGGCCAGCAAACCTCAAACTGAGGCTTATGAACCAAATACAGTCTGCCAGGAGTCCATAACTCTGCCTGGTCAACGTACTGTACCCTGATAGCAATGACATATGGCTCCGGATATTTACCATCTATTTAGCCAAACAAAGGCTCATACTTTCTTCTTAAAATGCTCCTAACACTGTGCTGATTAAAATTGTTCTTCATTTTGGTAAGTTTTTTTCCCTGTATTTTTCTTTGCACTTTAAATTAGATTTGTACAGTTTGCATAGGGTTAGTTAGTTCTTTTGTTCAAACTATAGTCATGTCCAAAAAAGTCTGGGACAGTGAACCAGCTCTCAAATGTGTAAAGGGCAGTCTGAGTAAACCAACCCCCTGATTATAAAGTTTGAGAAGTTCTAGGCAGTCCCATGCAGCTATAAATCCCAAAATGTCAAATTTTGACCAGTTTTTCTCTCCATGTTCTGTCACTTACTGTCAAATTTTGACCAGTTTTTCTCTCAATGGTCTGTCACTTACTGTCAAATTTTGACCAGTTTTTCTCTCCATGTTCTGTCACTTACTGTCAAGTTTTGACCAGTTTTTCTCTCCATGGTCTGTCACTTACTGTCAAATTTTGACCAGTTTTTCTCTCCATGTTCCGTCACTTACTGTCAAATTTTGACCAGTTTTTCTCTCCATGTTCCGTCACTTACTGTCAAATTTTGACCAGTTTTTCTCTCCATGTTCTGCCACTTACTTTTTCAGACTCATTATAGAAAGTTGTCAATTTTGGAATTGATAACAGTAATTTTCTTCAGTGGTTTTTATAGTAGACTCTTTGCTTGAACATAACCTCAAATATATATGCTACTTCCTTGATGGGTCTGAACTAGATACATCAATACACTTAGCTAATGTCCTCTAATTTTCTTTTCGCGTCTCTTGATTGCTTTCCTTCTATTCTCTTTTTGAACCTTTAATACTCTCTGTAGGAGATATGTTCTATTTGATTGAGCTTCTCATGGTCAAAAGTAAAGGGAGCAGAGCAGCGGTTCTCAACCTTTCTAATGCCGGGACCCTTTAATACAGTTCCTCATGTTGTAACGACCCCAAAACACAAAATTATTTTTGTTGATACTTCATAACTGTAGAGTATATGTATTTTCAGATGGTCTTAGGCGACCCCTGTGAAAGGGTCGTGCGACCCCCAAAGGGGTCGCGACCCACAGGTTGAGAACCGCTGGAGTAGAGGAATGTAACAGACCTGATTTTTGTGTAAACTGTATGATTTTTGAGATGCTTTTTACGATAGTATGTTGATACCTACTATCAGAACTACTATTTTAAAAGACCAGGTTGAAAAATGTATTCTGGTAGTTTTTATCATTTATATTATGTAATCACTGAAGGGGGAGAGAGTGGGGGTTTGTGTTGACTAAGGAGTGTAGGGTATGCATGGGGAGGAAGGGTTAGGTGTCTAAATATATTAAATGGCTATAAAATAAGACTAGCACTTTTTGTAATGATGGTGACGATCGTCAAGTTGTTGCTTTGTGTTTTCAAAAAGTGGAGAAAACTGCAGATTTCTTCATTTTTATTAATTATTAATGCACTCTCAAATTCTCCACATTGCACCGTTAGATTTGACGTATTTGATAAGATCTAGTAAGCAGCATTTGCAACCTATTTTTAAAAGACACTAAACAGCTGTACAATTTTAATACCTCAATTTTCAAAACAGCCAATTTTGCACATTGCTTTATGTTGACTTCTGTTAATTACTTTTTCTTCATTGTTTTTTTTAACAGAATCAATTTACCTTTTTTGTCAATTAATCATCTCAACTCTAAATCTATATGCAATTAATATATGTAATAGTACCGAATTATTTCAGTGTCTGAAACCTGTTCTAAGTCCTCCCTTTATTTCAGTTCATATGGTCATCAATTAATTAACCATGCAAATAAACTGAAACAGAAGAATAATGAAGAACTGTTTCTTTAATTTAATTGTGTTATCTTACTCTTAGTAACAATTATTATTTCTCTGTCTGGTTTTGTGTGAATACTAAATATTTATCACTTTACTTCAGGTCAAGCCTACAAATGACTCTTGATAATCAATGGCTGAACCTTGAAGTGCTCGGAGAACCCATTAGTACTTGGTGTCAAAAGATAGATGGCAACAAAAAGAGGGCTTTCTGTTCATATTGTAAATATAGCTTATCCCACAAATTGAGTTTTTTACGTCGTCATGCTAAAAGTAGACGACATTTGAAGCAGGTAGCTAGGGTGCATTACAAGCATGAAGGTAAGAATTCATTTGCAAAATTACATCTCTCTTTTTTCTTTCCTTTCTGGGTTTATTGTGCTTGTGTAAGACTTTAACTAGAGTTTTTACACACAAAAAAAAAGGGAAATTTTGGTATTTAATCCAACATAACAGACTTATATACTACTGACTGTTGGAGCAATGTTATACAATCACTTAAGGAGAGTTTAGATCAATATGCTAATTCAAATTGGGAGATGCTGAAAAGCTGAACTCTTAGCAACCTGTGTACATAATAGGTTAATAAAATCAATATTCTGTTATATATCTGTATATAAACGTTTCCAGGCTTGTGCATTAGTATGTAGATTTAAGCCAACACACACACCCCCCAAGCGTGCAAACCCCCTACAGATTTTTTTCTTGCCAGGTCTGCACTTCCTTCCACTAAGACCTAACTGATGCTTCTCTTTTCCATGCTTGGATTGCCAGCTGCTGTAGATCTTTTTTCTACATTGACTCTCCATCTCAGCTTAGGTCTGCCTTTGGGCCGTTTTCCTCTGGGGTTTTGGTGGTGCACCCTCTTCACTTTTCTGTCAGCCTGCCCTTTTTTATTTCTGCTACTAGCATTGGGTCCTGGTATAGTCCATACAAATCCTGGTTGGTTTGCATTATCCATCCATAGTCATCTTTTTTTTGGTCCGTATATTTTCAGGAGAACTTTTCTAATTTGTTTAATATGTTTTTGTTAGGGTCCAAGTTTTATTGGCATATGTTTCTACTGCTCTGATTGCATTTTAAAAAAAAATAGATATCTTTGTTTTTCCTGTAATGTTTTCACTTCTTTGAATATTTTGTGACTACTAAAGTATGCCCTGTCTCAGGCCCATATTCTTTCTTTTATTTCTTTTTATAAGTCATTTCTTTCATCTATTAAGAATCCTAGATTTAATAAATTAGCCTTTTCTTAAGTGTGGTTTCTAGTTTAATGGTTTTATTTGTTTGTTCTTCTTTAAGTATTTTCTTTTTTTGTTTGCTAACTTCCAGCACTGATGTGTCTTCTAATTTAATAAAATTTAAAAAAAATTTGGTATGTCATTGTGACTTTTCCCCAACAGTGCTATGTCATCTGCTGTCATGGGCATATCAGTGTTTTTTTATGTCTGGGTTGATAATTTTAACAGTGAGAAATGATGTTTTTCCTTTGGAACTTTCCCACATATCGCACCTCGTTTACTAAGTCATGAATGCACTATGACACATTTCCTGTGGTGCCATATGTTGGCTAGAAGAATTGTTATGGACATCAAGACTCTTTTGTTTTAAAGCAATGAGTGATTGGCTTGTTAAGCTGCATGCAGGAATTTCCATTTTTTCAAATGTGAACACTATTGTTACTAGTTTCTTTATTGTGTATTGTGTCTTAACACATCACATAAACTATTATATAATACCTTTATTTCAAACCATCTTGCCAAGTTATTTGAAGCGAGAAAGAAAACGGAAAATGAGACTGTGATCTGATAGTGTGTTTCTGTGGCCGTTTAGAGAGGGACCTACCCCTAGACGACATTTCACCACATCAGCACACTGGAGGGGTTGGTTTAAGAGTGCCTATTGGTCTTGGGTTTCCTTCAGAAAGTATCATGTTATTGTTCTTTGGGTGTCAATATGTATTCTTCTTATAACTCTCTCTAAAATAGTATACAAGACAGTGAGCCTCCTTTTCTTAGTCTTGTCTCTCCTTGTCTTAATCTGAAATTCTCTTGAATATTCACCCTAAAACTTTATTTTGCTTTTTGATTTGTTTAATGTTATATGTATCAGTCAGTCTTGTACATTATTCGACTATGCATGAGTCTCATATAGATATTTCCTTTTGATGCTATTTTGTGGTCCACATAGAGTTGTTGCACTGGGATATTATATGTTTTAAATAATGTTATGTAATTTTTAAAACATTGAAACTAAACTGCCAAAATATTTATATCAAAATAGTTTTAGCCCACCATGAAAATGTTTAAGTATAAATAATAATGTTAAAATTTGAATAGTTCTATCTGATCAAATGAGAAAATTTATAATTTCAGCTAACTTCAAACGCCCTGTTAAGTTGAATGGTACGACATCCGCTGTCTTACAATCTGCAATGAATTGCTCTGTTAGTCTTTCACCGCTGACTTTTGATGTTCTCTCTCATGTAAGTTTCAATTTCACATCTCTCTAAATTTTACGTTATCCAACTTAAGTCATAAGTTGTAATTAATATTATCTGAACAAATAAGAGAAAAATATTTTATCCATTGCTTTAAATTTAAAAGTGAACTTTTCATGGGCTGCATGTCATCACACCTTATAAATTAAACACCCAAAAATGCTGCATATAATTATTTATGTATTCTTAAAGCACATAATGAAATGCAAAACAACTGAACAAAATATTACAACTGATGTGATTTTTTAAATATTTTTTACCTGCTTTTTTAAAAATGACATCTAATATGTAGGTAAATTAAATGAAGAAAGAAGTTTGTTCATGAAATTTAACATGAGGGGCCACATGTGGGCTTTAGGTTTACCATGCCTGCTTTAAAATTTGAAGAAAAAAACTGATTACACCAAATATAACATGTGCTGAACTATAAATATTTTAAATGCTACTCATATAATTATATGATTTTATAACTTCTCTGACAGAATGTTAGTGAACAGAGCCAGCCATTTTTGTCCACAGTTTTCAGTAAATCTTGGAAGAGGCAAGGTGGGAGAATTTTCCTAAAATTTATTTTATATCCTATTTCACACATTTGATTTGATCTTGTTTTGAGAATTATACAGTATTTCAGTGTATGTAATACGGGTACAAAATAAAATTTTTTACATCCATAAATTATTAATTTAATCATTGTTACATTTGTTGTGTTTTTTTTTCCTTCTTATTCTTGAAATCAGTCTTAAACTGAATAGATTTGATCCTTGTGTTTATAAACCCCTCACTTCATTTATTTTAAGTCAAAAGTCTGCTTCATTTAACTCTAAATAGGACGAAATCTTTCCAAAGATTTTTCAGTCCAGTCATAAATAACTTAAAAATATGTAATATTTTGCTGCACATATGTGAGGGGCGAAGCAGTGCACATTTTTGGAGCTGCGCATTTTTAATGTGGTTTTCTCTACTAAACTTGAGTTTACATAATTTAAAAAAAATTTGGGTGGGGTGAATTCTCATATGTACATACACATTTGGGGGCTTCTGGGTTATCCAAAAAAGTATGGTAGTAAGAGGGGCCAATAAATATAGGACAGTTAACCAAGCCATCAAAAAAGTTATGAGAAGGGCAAAGAAGAACTGTTGGATTGAAGAGCAATGCTATGACATTGAAAACTGCTTGAAGAAAAACAATAGCAAAAAGACATACCAGTTGGTGAAAGAACTAACCACTGCAAAACTAGGGCGTAGTACTACCATACAAGACAAAAATGGTAAATGTTTGACGGAGGAAAATGATATCCTAAAACGATGGACTGAATACTGCTCAGAACTGTATAATGAAAATATAAAGATAGACCCAGAGATCCTTAATGTCCCCCTAGCAACGGACTATGAAAACTACCCTATTCTCCGTGCAAAAGTGGAACAAGCAGTCCAAGCACTCCAAATAGGAAAGACCGCAGGAGTAGATAATATCCCTGCTGAGTTAGTGAAACAAGGAGGGGAAGCAATGATAAGTCCCCTAATCAATATTTGTAACAAATTATGGCTGGCAGGGGATTGGCCCAAATCATGGACCCAATCGCTCACCACCTCCCCAAGAAACGTAACCTACAGCTATGCCTAAACTATCTCACCATTAGGCTAATAAGCCACCCAAGCAAGGATGCTGAGAGTCATATTGAACCGACTAAGACCGACAGAATCATTGCTGAAGAAAAGGCGGGCTTCAGGCAAGGACGTGGCATTACTGAGCAAATCCTGAACCTCCAAATACTATTTGAGAAATATGCTCAACATCAACAAAAACTATACCACGTCTTTGTGGATTTCAAGAAGGCGTTCAACAGGGTTTGGCATGCTGCTTTATGGGCCACCATGAAGCACTACAACATCAACACATACAAAGCCAGAATGATATGCAGCCTCTATGATAAGGCAACCAGTGCAGTCTTCTTCAACAATAACATCAGAGATTGGTTCAAGACCACGGTTGGAGTATGACAAGGCTGCTTGCTCTCTACCTTCCTGTTCAATATCTTCTGTGTGTTGGGAAGTTTTCCCTGTTTCGTCACATAGTGCTTATGTCACATAGAGCTTATGTCACATAATAATAATAATACTTTTTAAAAATCACGCTTCATCGCTAAAGGCTCAAAGCGCGGTACAAAGTCAGCCATATCAAAAGAGAAATGAAACAATCTAAATTTTACCACATAAAAAGACAAAACGGAGCACTACAAAATCTCCAAACGCCCTCACCCATTCAAAGTCTTTCATCCCTTTCAACTATAACAACACAAGTCAATATACATCTAGGAGATAATAGCTAGCTGTAAAAAATGGTAGACAACTTCACCCCAGCAGATGTTTGTGAAATAGATGTGTTTTCAAATCGGTTTAAGTGCTTATGTCACATAGTGCTTATGTCATCTGTTTGAATATCCAATAATCCTTGATTTTTATTTCATTAATACTTATGAAAAATGTATTTGTGTCAACTATTTAATCTTCGTGTGAAACAACAATCTTAAAAGGTCAAAATGAGTATCCTCACTAAACTGTTTGAAAACGATACTCTGCTGGATGGAAGGGATATGGGCATACAGTTATAGAATTGTGTGGTGACCAACTACATCACCCTTTGAAGCCTAAATACATCTCTATTTCAGGAGCCAATATTTTCCCCCATTTTCTTAAAATAACCTCTCTGTGGGCCCTAAGCCCCTTGTTGTTTATGCCCCAGGTTTGGAAACACTGCTGTACCATGCACCCTGCTATACTAGACACCCATATACTGTCCATAAAGTGCTTATTTTTAATAACATAAGCTGTGTTCAGATATGTTTAAGGTGTGTTTAGATATGAATCTGGTGTACTCAGAAATGTATGTTAGGGTGCATGGAGTGTGAAAACTGACATTTTTGTGTGTAATACAAAGGATTGCTCCTTTTTTCATATTTTCTTATGATAACTATAAAAAAATAATTAGATTATTACAATAATAGCATTACAAATTTGTTTTGTTTTTTCCATTTTCAGCCCCAAGCTTTTTACAACCACCAAGCTGTTTTATAGATGTTTACATTTGCTTTTTCTGCTCAAGAGAGTTCAAATCCAGAAAAGTACTCCACTCACATCAGTTAGTGTGTGACAAACCCAAGCCACCAAATTCACCTTCTGTGAGACAGCAGCCTTGCACAACACCCATAAAACAAAGCATTCCGTTTCATTATGTCAAGGAATCCAAGAAGAACTTTATGTCTTCCTTGGGTCTCCTTCCCACAAAGAGCGCATTGGGCATTGAGAGACCTCGTAGAAACACAGAGTGTGAAAACATAGATTTGGAAGAGGTCATCCCTCAAACACCAACCATCACTTGGTCTCCAAAATGTCTTCTGTCCCATCTGAGCCGGGATGCAGGTGAAAATGCAAGTCCAAAAGCACAAACTGTGTGCCGGACGCTGTCATGGAACTCTCAGAAAACCAAAGAGGATGACAAGGGGCAAGCGGTGGTAAAGTCAAGGATGAATCTGTCTGGCCCCAAATCCCTTTACAACATTGACCTTACATCTCCATTGGGTCTGCTCACTCGAAAGCATGTTAAAGGTGACCCCAGCCTCCACATATTGTCGGACGTTGAGAGCCACTGTCAGACTTTGTTGCAGAAAAAGGATTTAACAAGTTTCAAACTGCGGGACAGGCCTCTTCGATATCCTGTGACATTTCGCAGCAAGCGGTGGGTCTCCTACATTCATGAGTACAAGTTTACTAAAAGGCAGATAAAGGAATTCATGCGACAAGTGAACACAGGGCTCGACAAGAAAAGTAGGATGTTGTTGAAGCAAATGAAACCATTCAAAGTGAAGCTGACGCGCTTAACTAAAGCTGATCTTAAACTGTGGACAGCCTCTCAAAATCAACTCACTGTAAACTTAAAACCATTAACAAGTGAAGAGATTGCCTTCTGGACTAGGACTAAAGCCCCATCCAGCTCAAGCAGCCCAACCATTTTCCCCAGTGGTCTTTCATTTTCATCACCTAATGTAAGCCACGTACTTGGGTTGCGCACACGCGAGAATGCTGCATTCTTAAAGTATACCAGATTGTCCATGTCTAATTATGTTTCTGAAGAAACACTGGCTGAACTGACCACCAACCGCAGGACTGTGTATCAAAGTCTGTTGTCAGACACCAGCTGTAGTGAGAGTGAGTCAGAAAGGGAAAACTTGCTAACTGAGAAGTCCCAGCCTTGTACACCCATTCTCCGAAGAACATTGTCTTCTTCATGCAACAGCTCACCTCGCAAGGTGAGCTTTCTTCCTGACATAACCAACTTAAAGGTGGACTATGATTTATCGCCACTACAAGAAAAGACTAAAACAGAACATAGTAGTGTTGGCGAAGTACAACCCTTTAGTCAGCCAACAGGAGCTGAACAGTTTTTTTGTCCATCCAGCAGTCCATCGTCCAACTCAGGGTCTTCTAGCGCAGCAAGTCCTTTACTTAACAGTACCAGGAGAGTATTTTATCAGTCAGGCCTCTACCATGTTTGCGTGCGTGAGGCAAATGAAGGGAAAAAAATAGTGGAAAAAATTACTAGCCCAATCAGGCGCAATGTAAATTGTATGAATACTAAAACTGATAAGGATACAGCTTTCAAAAAAAAGGAGAGTATTTTTTATTCTTCCGGCTTAAATTCTTTAAAGTATGACTTTGGGGCCATGGAATCGCAACAAAAAACTTTGAAAAAACAGAAGGCGATGTCAGGTGGTAAGGTCATAAAAAGGGGTAGGTCTCGCATTCATAATTTACAAATGGATCTTAAAACTCAGAAGAAAGCAAAGTTTCCTGAAAGTGCTGTGAATAAAGCAAAACTTTCTTGTAGAGATTCGGACCCATCAGGTTTGGGCGAAACTTGTATTCCTGGCTTAACTTTTTCTAGGAAAGTAATCTGTGTTGAGCCCAAAATGTACTGTCCTTCAATTGATAATGCAGCATCATTGCCTGTTATACCTCTGGTTATATTAACCAGAAATTGGCAGGCTGTTAACTCAGGAAAAAAAGTAGAAAATGACGAGGATCAGGATAGACAGTATCTTTTCAACGTAAACAGCTCAAAGAATGCCTTTCAGAATAAGGCTATCCTGCATTGCAAGCGTGCCAAACGAGGTTTATTCCAAAATCATTCTGAAGCTCCAACAGCAAGCTTACGAAAGCCATTGCAGAGATCAGTTACATGTAAAAAAGTATGTAATTGCTTCTTACAAAGTTAGCAAAAGTTGTTTGTGATATTAGAAAATATTAACTATACTTTAATCCAGCAATGATACATTTTAATTTTTTTAAAACTTTAAACCAGATCATCATCTGTGATTTAGCTTGTATATAAATTTATATTTAATTTACGTAACATTATTTTTGTTATTTTTACATAAATAAAAGCACCTCACAACTAGATGTTCACTTTATTCTTTGTGCATATTGTGCATGTTAATAAACAACAAAAAGTAGAGAAGAAAAAAAGATTCTACAAATTTATTTTTGCTCACTTTGCAAATGTTGATAGCTTTTTGGGATGTGGTTAATAAATCCAATAGCATGTTGATAGGGACAATAAGGCACTAGTGAAAACTTGAGGTGCATGATGTAGAACTAAGAAGTGATTTAAAAATGTCAGATAAAAATCTAAAATCAGTTTGTTTAAACTGATTGTAAATCTACTGAATGTGCTGCATGAAGTATTGAAAAGAGGAATGAAAATATGCATTTCTTTTACTTTTAGTTATTCTTTACTTGAGTTTGTTTAAAGATTGCTATTACTTGTATTAAGGAAAGGATGCTTCATAATGAAAGGACTACAAGTCATTCAAGGATAACATATTATTTTATCAGTTACTCAGTCGCAAATGTATATTGACTTGTTCTGATTTCTTTTAAAAGCGTTAATGTATTGATTTCAAGTTACAGGAATAGTGTTTATTTTAATTGTTGATTTGTTGATTAATTTTATGTCATGATCTGCCATTAATAGAATATAAAACCACATATTTTTTGATGGACTACAACAATTATCCAAATTCAAGACTTGTCCATATTTACTTTAAAACTGGAGGTGGATTGTAATTACTTGTATTGTTTTTAAAACTAGGACTGCAGTTCTAGAATACAATATTTGAGAGAGAAAAAGAGTGGATTTAACCTATACTTAGATACAGGTTTATAATATATTAATAAATGTGTTACCAGATGATCCAATTACCCTCACTACTTTGTAAAGGATGTATTATGTGTTAATCAGTTAATCGACCTCTTTACTACAAAACCTTATAAGCTTGATGCTAACTAAAATAGTTTGTTATAAAATGATTCTACAATATTTTGAGTTGTTTTTTTTTTCCATAAATAAAAAAAATGGAAAAGCCCTAGGTCTACCAAATAAAGGCATTTCATACAAAGTCCTGCTTACCAATTAAGGACTTTTATACAAAAGTCCTCTACTAATAATTAGTTATTCATTTTTGTGATGTATTTCACCCACATTTCTCATAAATGTGAATACTGTACAAAATGTGATCACTGAAGTTTTTATGTCTAGTTTTTATCATTGAGCTTTATGAGATAGACAGACTGTCTTTTTGTGTCACTCTTGTGCTTGCACTTCATGTTGGGTAAAAACTGATTGCCTATCACATCGCAACTGCCTTTTCTTATGGTTTCGAACTTATTTCTATACATGATTTTCTGTATGGTAGGATCCCAATGGACTTTGATGACTTGCAATTTTGATAAATTATTTTCTACCTTTCATTTTTGATTCTCTTCATTTAAAAATTTTTTTTATAAGCTTTATAATTGTTAAATTAGAATTTGAAGATTTGAAAAGCAGATCGGAATGTCTATCAATGCTGAGACAGCTCATAAATAAATCTTTTTATTTAAAAAAAAATGTAGCTATTTTGAGTTCTTTATTTCCGGTATCTTATTTGCTAAAGTGCCTAAAGAAAAAAAAATGCCATGGATGATTTTCAAAGTGGAGACCTTGATCCTCAATCTGTTCCACCCTGAAGTGGATTGCCATCTTAAATTGGGTTTGGCCTCAAAGGGCCACATCAGATAAAAAGAACTCAGAAGTGGATTGCCGTCTTAAATTGGGTTTGGCCTCAAAGGGCCACATCAGATAAAAAGAACTCTGAAGTGGATTGCCGTCTTAAATTGGGTTCTGCCTCAAAGGGCCACATCAGATACAAAGAACTCTGAAGTGGATTGCCGTCTTAAATTGGGTTCTGCCTCGAAGGGCCACATCAGATACAAAGAATTCTGAAGTGGATTGCCGTCTTAAATTGGGTTCTGCCTCTAAGGGCCACATCAGATAAAAAGAACTCTGAAGTGGATTGGGAAAGTTCTTAGGAGGCCTGCTTTATTTACTAAATTTTAAATTCTTGAACAGAGATTCCAAAAAAAATGTAAAAATGTATTTATCATCTAAATAACGTGCCTGGGATGCCAAAAGAAAACATTAATTTCTACTATTTTAGCTGCTTGTGTTGATTTCAAACTAAAAATTCAATATGTAAATTAAAAAAAAACAACTTTTTATGTACATTTAAAAAAAGCAAAAACTTTTGATTTTTATTGAGTTGCAATCCAGTGAGCTCAGAACTTTGATCAACTTATTTTTTTTTTAAATTTATTATTTTGTCATTTTTTTAGTTAAAGAAAGTGTGAATGCATACAGAATAATCAAATATTCTAACCACATTGATTTTAATTATTGTCCTATTGCAATATTCCTAAGCAGGTGGTTGTGACAGAAGAAAGGAATCATTTTACTTTGACTTGGTACACTGTCAAATTTCTTTGTAAATGTCCTTACACAGATGTTGTACATACCATTATACATTATTTTTGTTAATCAAATAGCACCTAATTTTCTAGGTGTGTCATAGACATGTTTCCATCTAAGGCAGGGTTTCCCAAAGTGGGCTATGGGGAGGCATTTAAGGGGGTTCTAGGGAAAAAAAAGTATTAATTTTGTTAATAGTTGATGTTAGCCCTGATTTAAACATTGGTCATAAGTCACAAGTTCATTTTCAAAATTCTACAGTTCTCTTGTTAATGAATAACATTTATTCATTTTCTTATTTTAAAAATGCATTACCAGCATTGATTTCAAAGTAAGTGCAAAATTTGGGGGTTGGGGAGGGGGGGGGGTGTGGTTAAAGAGACTTAGTTAAACTATTTGTAGGGGTGCAGAAGAAAGAAAATTTTGGGAAACCCTGAAGGAAGGGGAGGTCATCCATAAATGGTATTCACTCAACAGTCTTGAGGCAATCAAACATTTTATAATAACTTATTAGAACTTCAGGTTAATAAATTTTGAATTGCCAATGATGAAGAATCTGATTTACATAATTTATTTGGCTTAAGACTTGAATTGGGAAAATGGTTTAGAAGTGTAAACAGTGTGTGTGTTTAATGCTTCCTCTCATGTCCACTAGATTTATGCTAATGTCCACACACTGGCTGTCTGTATGGGTGGCCCATTATTAGTATCCCAAAACTTCCTGCTACCCATCACTATGACGACAATCACCAAAGACATGACTATTAATTTAATAGCCACTAAGTGTAGTTGGAAACGGCCATCTTCATCAACTTATTAGGTATGGTCTGGTACAGGATTGCAAAATTCTACTTTTATATCCAGCCTGTTTCAGATGTGGAGCATGTCAAGATCAAAGTCTACAAGACTTTCCAGTGGGCCTCACACCTTGCGGCAGATCACAAACTCTACTTCCTAGCAACGTTTCCCCGAGAAGAAGCGGAAAGAAATCTAAGAAAAGCCAAATCAATATATCAAATTATTCACAGAATTAATTTTAAATTTGGGAAAGGCCGACAGCTCTATGTACCGGTACCAAATAATTTCACAAAAATATTGGCGCGTTGATAAATAGACCTACATACCAAGGGCGCAAAACACCCACTGGTCACGGGATTGAAAGAATGGCAATCACTGCTGGAGTAAACTTGCCTGAATGGTTCACAGTATTGTGCTATGCTACTTTACAGGGACTCTCAGGGCTTGTACATTTTACATTGCCACTGCCACACTTATTTCCCAATCAGGAGCTCTTAGGAAATATAAGTCCTGGTTGAGTGCTAAGGTACTGGTATTCCAATAAATTATGCAAAGACAAGACAAAGCATCACACTGAAATACAATACAACCACAAAGAAGTTTTCCTTCTGTTAATTTACAAGGATAAAATTAAACATAAAAAGGCAACATAATGGACTTGGGCTCAAAAAGAAACAAGACAAATTAAAGCAAACAGTTCTTTAATTTGTTATATGTTTTTTTTTTGTATACTTAAAATTTACATACATATGTATGAACATATTTATAATCTATTTTCAACAAACTTGGTAACAACATACACTTGTTTGAATTATGATTCCATCAATATGCTGACATAATCCCTAACTACTTTCAAACTATTCAAAACTTTTCAGATCTGTACAACTGTTGTTTTTTTTCTTCCTCATACAACAAGAGTAATGCAAGTAATCACAAAACTTAGTTACATAACATTTTATTGTCTCAAATTTTCCAGGTCTAGAGTTATTGAAAGTAAAATTTACATCAAATAAATGTGAAGGGGAAAAAAAAAAGCTATATCAAAACATGACATAAAAATAAAATATTTGTGAAACCCTTTAGAGTGCACTAGTTGTACATGGATGAAAGAATAAAATAAAAATCAAGTGTTATTCTGTCCAGTAAATCCAAGGTTAATGCTCAAAAAGGTTATAAAGAAAGGGACATGGGTAATGCATGTAAAACTTAAGTGATGTTCAAGGACAGGTAACAAGTGCCTGGTGTGCAATGAAAAAGAAATTGGTTATGTCACAAAATTTTACATGTAATAATAAAATACTCAGGGTATGTATTAAGCTTTTTATTTTTTTATCAAGTGATCAAGGCAAAGAAATTTAGTTTGGCAATTTTTAGCAAAAAAGAACAAGAAGAAGAGGTGGAAAAAAAAGCAGCATTAAAGAGCACATAATTAGGCTGACATTATTTAAGGCCAAAAATAATCAAGATGTAATTTTATTAATTTTTTTGTGTTTGTTGTTGAAATGTTAAATAGATGAATGTATGAAACACGTGTTCATGGCTATTAAATCTCGATATTTTGATTGAATAATGCTGTCATATTTAGTGCATAAACATTTCTTTGCTGACTTACTTTAGCATGTAAACACTCCTTTCAAACACCCTCCAACAGCCCTTACATTTACAATAAACTGGGATAAACTCATTAGCTGAGTAACTACATGACACATTGTAGTGTTATTTCATGCTGAG